AAAAAAAACTAAAGAAAAATGCTTCAAATGTTGAAAATTCTAATCGCGAAACAGCCAAACTATTTTTACCAAAAAAATTATCAAAAAACTATTTTTTTCAATGGGATTTCAACAAATATTACCTTTAGTTATTGTATACCGTGCAACAACAAATGAAGATTTTGAACTTTTTGGAGTGAATTTGAAATTAAACTGAAGAAAATCGATACCAACAGTTTCCTTGTTTATCGGAGATTCATATCTAAATAAAAGCAAAAAAATCTTTTGTGAGAGTCGGTAATTGTTGAGTTTTATGAATACTGTAAACTAAGCACTTACAGAAATTTCTGGTTACCGTCACTTCCTTCAGTCAATAATACAGTTGCATTTTCTGATAGATCTGCAGTTAGCTCAAGGTTTATATGAATTATATCACCTGTAAACGAAGCAAACTTCATATTTACGATGCTATGCTAAAACAACAAGACACTGTAAACAGAAGGAAAAAAACGTTCTAACAATGTTCTAAAGCTCATTTGGCTTTTGTTAAAAACCTGTTTTAGAAACCATTTCCACTTCGTGATACTCAGGATAGGAGCACATAAAACTACCATTATCACCAGGACCGACCAGTCTTTTTGCATAATAGTCTTTTGCTGCAATTATAGTTAAATGATCTGACCAGAAAACTTTCTTCATGTCAAATTTAGTTATAATATTTTGAAATGTGAAAGAATAACTGGCTTTTTTTTTCAATGACTTTCTTTTTAATTCAAATTAGAATATACATTATTTTTAGACCACTTTCTACAGAAAAATTTTTAAGCATTAACAAAGCAGGTCTGTTGCTGCTCTTATAAGACGTTATAAAGCACAAAACCGCATCGTTTATCCCCAAATAAAAGCGGTATTCTATCTTACACAAAGAGAAAAAGAATTAAAAGATAATATCAGTCCAAAAAAACATTGAAGACATACGTTTTTCTGTTGTTATAGTCACCGAGAAGTTACTAAAGTTTTTAATCAGCAGATTGACACGAGGTGTTGTTACCCTAAAGCCTTCGTACTTTGCTGCATTTGTAGCCCTTAAAAAGCGAATTGATCAGTGTAAAGTATGGGCCTAAACTTATTCAAAGGCAGCCCTCAATAATGGACAAACAGTGACACCAATAGTTTCTCTAAAAATTTTGAGAAAGTTAATGTGTTTGGTGAAAAAAAATTTAGAAGATGTCAAGCAGAGCTCTTTCGTAGCGAAACAATACTTCAAGAAGTTAAGTGGCGCGTTCTAGTGTTAGACTTAAACTTCAATCAGCATAATTTAAAAAAAACTTGAAAAGTAGATGTAAACGAAGTAGCCTAGATATTTTTTTGCCACACTATCTTATGCTTAACTATTTTCAACGCTTGAAGACTATATAGCGACAAAAAACCAACATTTTTGAAATCGTTATGAATCACAGAAAGATAACATTTATGAAATTTTGTGAATCATAAGACGAGTAAGACGAAGCGATAAAGACGAACACAACAAAACTTCTCGAGAATAAGTTTTATAGACAAAAAAAAGTAAGAGTATTTAGCAGTAAAGAGAAAATTTTGGTAAGCAGCACTTTCGGAAAGCCAAGTAGTGATTCCCAAATTTTTAAGATTAGAATAAAAAGGATTTGTTAATAGAAGTTCTTATCAAAACATTAGTTCAGGTGAGGTACTTGTTGTCTTAGAAGGTTCCAGGATCTTGCAAGATATAACCCTTACTTGATGTAAAAAGCAACAGTATTTATTTGGTTTTCCGTAGAGTTGTCGGCAACAGGAAGGGCCAATTGCTGTAAGCCAGGAATGATAGTTACTTGGTCATCCTAAATTCAGCATAACGTTTCATTAAAAAATTAGCTTCTATTTCAGGACTTAAAACTTAAAAGCTCTTTTTTCCATAGAAGAAAAACCAGGTTTCACTTAACACTCAATCAGCAGCAAAAAAAAGTTTACAATGTACTTTCTCTAGATTACTTTCTCTAGATTCCAATCTTGAAAAGTGAGTGACGTTGTATTTGCATCAGAGAAATATAATGAAAAGTAGCAGCTAAAGTCGTTGTCATTGAGTACTGGGAATGTCAGTTCAGATGGAGAAGGAAGAACGTAAACCAATGGTTCAGAGCAATTTAAATCTAAACCAAATAATCTATTTAGAAGCTGATGCAAAGTTTTTGAACTGAAATTTTTATAAAATACAATCTTATCGAGACCAGTTAGAGTATCAAAATAATTGCTTCAAAAAATATAATAGAAAAAGTAGCTTATTTAATCTTGAAAAAGTCAACCTTTGGGACGCAGACGAATCAAAAATTCTATGGTATCTGGGAAAACAGAATGAACTCCAGCTTTATAATAATTTTCAAACCGAATTATGCCATCGTATGCACTGAATAAAGGCCACAGATAACCACGTCCAGTATAATTCGTATTCAAATCTTTTAAGCTGAAATCAAAGTATCGATTCAACCTGTTGCAATTAATAAACAGTTACTGTTGTAGATGAACCACTGTATTATACACATAACAGTTTTATGTACTTTTTTAAATACTACAAAATAGCTATACCAGTTTACTGTTACTAATTTATGTCAACTAAAAAACGTTAACAACGTTGTATAAAAAAAATTGAATAATTTCAATTTTAAACAGGGAGAAGTCATTACGATACCTGCCAATTTTAGTTTTGTTACCGAACAAATCTTCAGAATAAATTTCCAAATTTTTTGCTGTGATAGTATTAAATTTAACTTCGCCATGCAAAATCAAATAGGCATCCAAAGAGTAGTCGTTAAACGACGAGGATATACGAACTGTACAGTTAACACAGGTAGTATTCGGAAAATATGAATATTGCCAATACTGTTGTTGGCCCATAAAAATTGTTGTTGTTTCATTGTCGTCTGTACTGTCCAATGCAGTAATATCTTCGCCGTAACAGCAATAGCAGATTATCAACAAAATAAACACTTAAAAATTTCTGAGAATAATTCAGGGTGAAACATGAAGTCAAGATCTTTTTCTTTTCTGTTCTTCTAACTTTTTTCACTGTAATAAACAGAAGAAAAAGAAAAGTGCGACAATGAACGACTGTTTAATTGGCAACTTTTCTAAGTGTAACTATTTTCCGTATAGCGATTGCTTGTAAAATATCTTTCCGCATTAAACTGAAAATAAAAAAAAAAATAAACTTTTTCCTGTAGAAATGATTAAAGTAAAAATTTACCTAAATTTGTAGACATTTTTTTTTTTTTTTTTGTTTTGAATTTCAATTCAGTGAATTGCAAAATGCTGCTGATTGGAAACAAAGTGAATATATTCGAAAATATGAATGACTATTGACTGTTGATCAATGATAAAACTGTACGTATGTTATAACCTAAACTCTGCAAATGATAACAAACATAACAGCTAACGATTCCAATTCCTGTTTTTTTTTTTTTCTCCCACTATTAAACTCTGCTGCATCTTAAACATCTGACTGTCTGTTCAAATCAGCAGCAACATTTCTTTGACACATCTCTGATATCAACAAACCGTCTATATTTGCAAATTAAATTGCTTTCAAGCGTTACTAACTATAAT